GGCCCCAGGCTCAACAGCAGTGCCCCAAGGGCACTGCTCTGGGGTCCTTCTCCCAGAGGCCTCTGACCATGGCCCTGGGGCTCCTCCTCTGGGTTGGCTTAAGTCACTGCGACAGATGGAAATCAGGGGCTGGAAGAGAAGCTGGGAGCTGAAAGCTGCACTTCCTTCCAGTCTGAATATCACAGCCGCCCACACGGAAGGGCTCCACCGGGGCCAGCCCAGCCGCAGCTCTGCCTGGGGAGGCGTCGGCTGGGAGCTGGAGCTGTGCTGTTTCCGGGGGGCCCCCCCCTGCCTGGAGGGAGCCGCACCAAGGTGGGCGGCCTGGCTCCTTCTCTCGTTGAGGCCCTCGTTTCTCACCTCCTCCAGGCTTCCTTGGCTGAGAGAATTCAGAATCTGACGAAGCCCCAAGTAAGTGCCCCGACTAACTGAGGTTGGTTTTCTCCAGAACTCTGGAGGGTGAGCTCAGGGGCCTGGTCCCCTCTGAATGCCACCAGGTCCCTTCTACTGTGTGGCCTTCAACCTCATGGTCACATGATGGCTGCTTCAGTCTGGGCATTGCTTCCCAGTTCCAAGCAGGAAGCAGTGGGAATAACGTAGATAAAAGTGGAAAAAAGTACCAGTGGAGTCTGTGCCTTCTGACACATTTCCAGAAATTCCACTAAATGTGGCAGCAGCCACACCTGCTCCCTGGGGAAGGAGGATCCCTCAGGCCCTACAGTCCCAACCATGAGCCCTGTAGGCTGCCCATGCCCAGCCTGGTGACCCCCTTCCTGTCCGGGAAGCAAATGCCACTAAATGTTCTGGACCAGATATTAGCCACGTGCTGTTCTGGCCACAAGGTCAGCCTGAGGAGGGGACATTGGAGCTGCACACAGCTCCAGAGGGCGGGTGCTGGAAAGCAGCCAAATGTCCACCACGGTGTCTGCTCCTCCCTCTCCCTCCTCTGTCTCTCTCTTCTTGAATGAGTTTGCTGTGGCTCCATGTCCAGGTCCAAGGAAGCTCTTGGGATACTGGCTGCCCACATGGTCACCCAGACCTGCCTGGGTGGGGCCGAAGGTGGCCAGCTGCACGTTTGCACAAATATGTCACCAAGCCTCGCCCTAACAAGGCCAAGGGCCAGCATGGCTACGCAGGGTCTTGTTCCCGCCTCATGGAATGGGTGCAATGCTGTGCTCTCCTCAGGGGGCAGCATGGGGTCAGGGCTGCTGAGCGCCTGTGATGGCGTGAGCATCCCCGGTGGGGCTCTGCCCCTGTCTGTGGCCTTCCTCTTCCCCTCTACACCAGAATTCGAACCCCACTCTCTCATCCGGGTCCTTAGCTCACTGCTCCCTGTAAAGCGGTTGTCATTTACAGAGAGTCAGGGATCCGAGCCTGATGCCTCTGGAGCCACGTCTACGCCCACCTTGGCTAGCTAGCAGCGGCCAGGCCCTGGTGGTGAGCGAGCTGCGGGCATTCGGGGCATATCTGAAGAGCTGCTGTCCCTCCATGGCAGGTCTGCATCGTTGGACCATTGTGTCTGAAGCAGTGACCCCTGCAAGAGGCACTGTGCACCCACTGCCCCACCCCCACCATGCCTGTGCCTCACACCCACCTACACACAGATGGTGAGCACAGTCCCAACTTATACACACATCCAGGTCACTTCTCAGGGCCCTGAGTGTCAGAAGAGCTGCCCCAGCTCCAGCCTGCCCCAGCCCCAGCTCCCTGAGGCACCCCCACACCCTCTGCTGCAGCCTCCTCCTCAGCAGCACCTTCCAAATTATCTTTTGTAATTAGAAAAGTGCATTCCCTCAGGTTGTGGGCGAGAACTTCAAATGATTATTGCATGAAAGCAGAATTGCTGTGGGCATAGCGGCCTTCACAAACAGGAGCTCTTCTAGTTTCAGCGAGGAAGATGGATTGGGTGAGGTGGGGGTAGTGGAGTCTCGCGGGTGCTTCTCCAGCAGGGGCAGGCAGGAGTGTAGGCTGGCAAGGCTTGCATCCTAGGGGCTATTCTTCCCACCCTGACCTTGTCTGCTGCTTCCCACAACCTGAAGTCCCCCTACCCTTGTGCCTAGACACCCAGACATCTGGACTCCAGTGAACACCCCACCTCTGGCCAGCCCAGCTCCTACCCACCTGGACTGGGGTGGACACACCTGAGCAGGCCACACATACAGCTGCACCTAAAGTAGCTTAAGCAGTGCTTTGTAAGCCTGCACTGTTAGCAGACCATCCAGGGGCCTCTCAGAAGGTCCAAAGAAAGCAAAACAGTATCTTTGAAAGAGTAAGGAAGTGAGGTTTCTCTGTGGTCTGAGGATGAGTCTTAGGCTATTATTGATGTGGCTTGTGTTTGATCCCTGGCCAGGGAGCTGACCCATAGCTGACCCACAGGGCACAGCAGACCTCTCCTGTCTCCTACCTGCTCCTCTCAGCAGTGGATTTCAGTAGATCCACCATTCTGCTCCCCACTCTGTCTCTGCTGAATCTTCTCACCCCCCACCTCTGCCTGCACCCCAGTTCTTGTATGCAAAACTAAAGGAAGAATAAGAAAGAAATTATCAAGCTAGAATTCAATGTTTGGTAAAACCATGATTTGAGTGGTAGCAAATAAAAACACACTTCAAAAAGGAGCCGGAGGAAAATGGATGTGCTGGAGGGAGGGAGAGGATAGAGCCAGAGCCCCCCCCCCCCAGGGTGCTGAGATAAGCCTGTCCTGTAGGGCAACTTGGAAAGAGAGCCCAGCCCGGGAGGGGGCTGTGTGGGAGATGGTGCCAGGGCAACTGTGTGTAACAAGTAGGCCAGGGAGCCCTGGACGCAGGGTCGGGCTGGTTTGGGAAGTGGCCAGGGCTACCCCTTGCCTGAACACAGACGCGTGGTTGTTGAAAGGCCAGAACAGTCTGCGAGCTGGTTTGGGGAAGCGCGGAGGGGGCTGCTCGCCAGCCCCACGTGAGTAGGAGGGGTAGGAGGGGCAGGTGGGGTGGGAGCTGCAGGGCTTGTGAGTGAACAGGGTTTCAGAAGGGCTAATCCAGGGCCTGGGGCTCAGGAGGAGCTGACTGCCCACCTGTGGGGGCGCAGCAAACAGACAAGGCTGGAAGTGAAGGGCCAGGGAAGGGTGGAGGAGCCCTGGCAGGAGTTCCCAGGGACCTTATCAGAGTCCAGAGGAAGGCGGCTTTAAGACAAGGCAATTTTAAGAATAAAAATGCTGCTGATGAAAGTGAGCGAGCCCTGAGCTGTGCTCCCAACATCTGAGACTCGGAGAGCAAAGGATGAAAGGGGAGCTGAGTGAACCCCTCTGCCCAGGGACCGAGTGAACCCCTCTGCCCAGGGACCGAGTGAACCCCTCTGCCCAGGGACCGAGTGAACCCCTCTGCCCAG